GGTTGATTTTTTTTCTCCCTTTAGCTAAGCTAGAGTTGAGCGTTTTGAATGGCTGCCTATTGGCCTCAGCAAGCTCTCAGCTAAGCACTTGCTGAAAACAAAGGTATTGTCCAATGGGGTCATCACCCCTCAGGCGAAGAAATCCTATCAGCACCGCTCTTGTTTGGGATGAAAATGGGCCTTCGCATTTTCTGTGGCATTTCCCACTATTTCTGGAGCTTAAATCACTATAAATCTTAAATGAGCTGAACAAATTGTTGTTGAGTGATGAAAAATAGATATGCTTGACTCTGAGCACACAGATGTGTTGTGTCCACCAAAATGAGGTCCTGATGAGGCACACACGCAACAAAATACCTGCTCGACAGCTTCCCATCTGACCCCGTCCACAAGCAAAGAAATCACGAGGAACGCATGCTAGACTGACCTCTCATAGAAATCCTCTTTGCTTGGGTATCCATATATGCATAAAAGGATACAGCTTCTTAAAAGCTCATTTTCCCTCTAATAATTGTCTGTTTTTAAAATGCTATCAGCAGGTGCACCTCATTTCAAAAGCCTCTTGTCCTTCATAATACAATATTCATCACGATTACATAGTATGAAATAAAAAGCCGCAAAACACAAGCAATGGTAGTTCAATTAAATGCAACATAATCTGCAGCCAAAAAAAAAAGGGTTCTGTAGTTAAAATCAGGTTCTGTTGAAAGAAAAAAGGGGAATATATTTCCACATATTTTTAATTATATAGAATTTTCTCAAACATGATTTTTCATAACATATTCCATTTAAGTTAACATCATATTTGAAGAAAGAGCATTTTCCGATTTCATTTTAAGGCTGATTTTGAGCAATTACAGTGTCATTGTTCTGCGGTAGAAAGGTTGAATTCATTCACTGTGTGGTTGTGTAGTTATGATTGATGTCTCTTCTCCAAATGATAAACCAATCACCCCAATGATGTAATGTCATTTTAAGAGTGCCATAATCACATTTCTCTCAAACTAGAAGCTCTGATGAGTTCTAATAAAGATTTATGGTAGATTAAAGGCCTTCATAATATCAACAATGGATTGCTCATTTGATGAGAGATTTGATTAGGTAATCTTCTTTTTTTTAAAAAGAATATGAGTTTACTAAATATACCAGGCCTGGCTTTGAAGAAGGGCATGGGCCATCCTAAGTAGCAGTCCATCATGCCATGGCTGGAATGAATCATCTTCCACTTGTTTAGGAGCCCTCTCTAATTGTAGAGGTTGAGGCCTGTGGTGGCATACACTCAATTATCGAGCCCAAACACAACCTCATCAAGGAACACTTGAGGCATGTAAAGCTCTGAATGCCTTAACGGATATCACGAGTGGCCAATTCCAAAGGCAACTGCAAAGCCTTTGGGTCAGGAGCAATTAATTTCTACAAACATCTCTCTTTGAGCAAAGAGTACTTAAACCCTAGGAACTGGCCACTTGTATTTTCAAAGGCACCAACAAGAGACATCAAAATAAAGCACGAGAGAGAGAGATAAACCACAACCCCCTTGTGGCCAGTTCCTCTGTCTTGCTTGTGTGAGTCAGAATGAAAGTGAGTGGCTCAGAGGCAACATTGGCCAGAGGACTACACCAGCAGCTTGTGGTGCTCCTAGGAAGCAGTATAAGGTGATGGAAGAATCACCCGCCCCAAACACTTCAGACTTGGCAAGCCATTCAGGATTTATGTCAAGGGATCACATTTTAATCAAAAATCATCTAAACAAGCAAAGAGGAAAAAGTCTGAAGCCAACTATCAATAAAACAAGGGATCTGAGAAGCACACAAATTGGAAGTGTGAAGGCAACCAGGGTCACACGGCTATGACCAGCATAGTGGTAATACAGAATTCAATACAGAATTGACCTTTGAGACTGGCATCCTCTCCTGGGCAGCAGGGGGCAAATTCCTCCCACGGAAGGAACCCCGTGTCCTGTAAGGCTAAGCAAAGCCTCTCCAGTAGCCACAACCTTCAACAAACGTCTCCTTGAATGGCAAGGCCACAGGACAAGCATATGCCACTGGGCACTCCCCGCCCCACCTTCTTCCCCACCCTGATTTCAGGGTTGTCACTCCAACGTCATGCACGCAACACCACACAGTCAGACAGCACAACGTTTCCTTACCACTGTTGGAGGCTTGCTGGGGCCCTGAGCATGCTCTGAGCAGGTAGGAATTGGGGGAGAACTCCTCATCAGGGTTGGTGTCCATGATTTGATGGGAGGTGTTGCTGTCTAGCAATGGCATCTGGCAGCTAACTGGTGGAGGATTATGGGAGCTAGGCAGCTGTGCAGATGGGAGGAGGCTAGACGAGGATGTAGGTGGAATGGGACGACCTGGGAGAGAGCACAGAGGGGTCAAAGGTCAGCACTGAGTGTTATGAGAGCATCCCGAGACAGTTACATCAAAAGCAGCTCGCAATACACATATTTGTTCCTCACAAAAGGAGAAGTGCTCCCGAGGTATCTTTTAGAGTGGTTGGGTGTTATCTCCAAAGTTCACGTTCATACCAAAGGGAGCTGGATCTTTCAGACCGTGGTATGGGCGGTTGTGTCCACCCCCAACCTTGAAACGGCATCAGCCTGGAGCCCATCCGCTTTTCTCTATCTCTCACCGAACGAGAACTATCTCCTCATTGGTCTCCCTGCTTCCATTATTGCCAGAGATCCATCGATTCCCCTCCCCCGCAATCCTTCTGCAAGCTACCAGATAAAGTTTGAGAGATAACCCTCAGGTGGTTTCATGTGACTGCTTCTGACCCTCTGATCAGCCACCGATGCGTGCAGAATGAAACCCAACCTAACCTATGATGGCCAGCGTGTCCACTCCGGCTCACAGCTGCTTCTCGTACTGCCCGTCCCTCTGGCAGGGCCTCTTACCATTGTGCCCTGGGCCAATTCTCTAAGCTTATGTTCTCATCTTCTTTTTTTTTTTGCTTAACCGTGCCAGATCCTCAGGGTCTTTCCACTGCCTGTCTTCTTGCCCTTAGTCACGCATCTGCTGCTGCTCCTCTGAGACTTCCCAGTTTGCCCTCCTGCCAGCTCTATCCCCTTAGTCCACTTAAAATTCCCACAAGCCTTTGTCACTATTGGCCGGTGGACACCTTGTCTATTTCAGTCACCCCCTCCATGTCACCTGCTGAACGAATGAACAAATCTGTAAAGTCAATGACAACCCAATTAATCCGTTTGGGGGAGAAGCGGGGCGAAGGTGGAAAGGGTGAGACATTTGCATCCTTGAGTTGGCCAATGACCCCATTCCCTGCAGCATGCAGGGATGTTTGGCTGGAGATTCTGGGGAAACTCCTGCTAAGAGACGTAGCCACTCCAGACTGTGCGGAAGGGCAGCCCACCAGGCAGGTGGTCGGTAGTGAGCTGAAGCTGCCCATGGGTCAGGAAATTCTCCCACACAGAGGGCCGCGGCAACCTCTCTTTCCACGTGGCAGGGAGCACCTGGCTGCCAAATTGCTGAGTGAGGCTAATCACCATGCAGACTTTCACCTGCTTCACCCTTACATCTCCGGGTCTCTGCACTTGCCTGCCTGCTGGTTTGCTCACATGGGAAACTCGTGAAAATGATCCAAGAATAGGGAAGATTGAGACAGGAGAAGACTCAAGAATCAGGTCACAGTTTCAACTCAGGCAAGGAGCGCCCAAGCCAGGAGAACTGTTCCCGGATGCACTGTGTTAAGGACCAACCCCAAAGAGCAAACACGCTGCCATCGAGTCCGTATAGGGCAGGCTAGAACTGCCGCTGTGAGCTCCTGAGACTGGAACTCCATGGGAGAGTATAAAAACCTCATTTTTCTCTTAAGGAGCGGCTGGTAGCTTCAAACTGCTGACTTTGTAGTTAGCAGCCCACTGCATAACCACTACGGCAGGTGTTCTCAAACCCTTCGACCAGACGCTGATCCTCGTGGCTGCTTTTCAAATGATGCTGACATGTAAGTCGTGCTATGGAGAGCAACTGTGCTAGACTCCAGGGACCTAAACATAAACACTGCCTGACCTCAGAGAGCTCACAGTCTAACTAGGGGCACAGTTAAATGTTTCATTTCAGTACCATATAGTAAGAAGTTAGATAGTAGCATGTAAGTAGCTGGTGCAGTAGGGCAGAGAAAAGGGACACCCGATACTGTCTAGGGGAGCCCTGGTGGTACAGTGGTCAAGCGCTGGACTGCTAACCGGAAGGTTAGTGGTTCCAACCCACCAGCTGCTCTGTGTGAGCAAGCTGGAGCTGTCTGCTTCTGAACAGATTCACCTATAGTCCTTAGAGTCCCTGAAGGGCAGTGCTGGTCTGTCTCACAGGTTCATGATGAACGGGGTTGACTCAACTGCAAAGGGTGGGTCTGGTAGAACCTGGTCAGGTGGGGGTGGGCTGGTGAATGAAAGAAAAGATTCCTGGGAAAGTGGAGGCCTGTGGAATCATTGCAAAATGAGACAAGAAACTTCCAGTGGAAGGGGCCAGAATGAGCAATAGTCCAGAGGCCTGGCACCACTCGCCAATTACCCTTGTGGAGGCAGAGGGGCAGAGGGGATGGGAGGTTAGATACACTTAAAACTTTAAGGTTCGGGGCTCTGCCCAGTAAAGCTACCAAAATCAATGCATGTTCTCCCCGATATAGATCAGTAGATAAGTGGAGCTTGATTTTAAAAATTCAATTCATTCATAACAATTTGGGCCTGATATTCTTGCCAGATGTTCTGGCCAAGGTAGATTGAATCTATCACAATTCAGCAGACTCAGCGCTAGACATTTAATCAATACATTTTCCCCCGTAGGTCTCCCCTCGAAATAATAGCTATTATCATTCTTAGTATCTTTCTGCTGATGTTTGGTTTGCAACAGTTATATGCTACTCGCTATGCTAAGTACTTGACAAATACGATCTCATTTAATCCTCCAAGACCCGTTCACATCAGAGTTATTATCAACTCCTTTGGACAGATCAAGAAGCTGAGGCTCAGAGAGGTGAAATGATTCAACTAGGAAGTGGCAGAGGCCAGGAGTCCCATTCAAGTTTGTCGACTCCCAAATCTAGTCCCTCACCATAGTCTGCCAAACAGCCTGGTGGCAAAAGTGACAGAAGGTGACCAAAGGGGGACGGTGGTGATTGACAAGAAACAATGTTTCTGGCTTCCCATCTCCCACTCCCAAACACTCCCGAGATTTCAAAGAACTATTTCTCTGAATAACACTTTATAGCAGTTACCACCCTACAGGGTTCTGAGCTTTCTCTCATATTGGGTTGTGAAGTTCCACGGGCTCCTTCACAGCACCATTGTCTTCCCCAGCCTGCAAGGCTCCCGAGAGGCGGGTGCCCTGCGCAGGGCACTGTGAAGCCAGTGTGGACCTTCACTTAGCAAGGAGGCTCGAGTCGGCACAGATTTTCACCCGCTATCAATCGGCTTTCACATTTGTATTATTGAGGCGTATCTGGAACTGCATGTTGAAGAACAAGGATGGCTGGGAGCCAATTTCCAAATTCCTTTGAGTGACTGAGGTGGAACTGAAGTTCAAGTGCAATTTTCCAGGAGCCTGATATGATAGTTGCTGTGAAATCATTCTTTACATGAACTTTTTGAAATTTTGTTCAGCATGAATTCATTTCATACAGTGCAGACAGAAGTGCTTTTTAATTTATCCAAATACAGACAACGGAAGAGCAGCCGTAATACAATGGAGGCCCGGGGTTACTTCGGCATACTGAGAATACACATCACGGAATTGTTTGATTCCAGTGATTTTCCTCCCAATCCACCTTTTGGTTGCTCTTGAACCTCAGGTACCTACCATTGCTGCGGAAATGTCTCAGCGCCAAGATCTGCCCCACGAAGATGGTATGTTGTTCTTTACTTTCACTGCAATCTGACGACTTTGTTTCTCTATGTTCTACCCGATCTGCCCCTGCTCCTGCCCCAACTATGCCAACTGAAAGAGGCTGTCTGTGCAGGTACAAGCAGGTGTTAAAATACAGGGGAATGAGTTGGAACATACGCAAGCTCACTGACAGCCCAGACTTGCTTACAGAATCGCTTCGTGTGGGAGGAGCGTGACACCACCAGGGAGACGCTTACCGGCTTCACACTCTACGCACCCCAGAGAGCTCCCCTGTGCCCCCAAACTATTTTCCAAATTCAATTCGCTGGGGGGTCTGGGGGTGTGTGGCTTTGAGTCTCCAGAAAATATAGCAAAAAGGTGGGGAGTGTTAATGAATTTGATAAAAAAGCAACGAAATCATGGGAAGGCAGCAATATGCCAGTCAGGAAACACATCAGGTCTTCTGTGTGTAGGTGTGTGTTTGCTGAGATACTCACGTAATTATCTGTCTGACTGGGTTCCCTGGGACCTTAAATGTGGGCACATTTTCTAATTTATCTGTTTCCAAATAAATAAGGTTTTGTCTTCAAAACCTATTTCTGCTGGGAAGTTCGGTAGTCCGACCACGCAGCTCCACGTTCGCTTCAGGAGCTTGTGGAGGCTGACAGGAGTGCTCTGTTCAGAAGGATGCGGAGGAAGCCACCCGTTGAGTGGGAGACATGGCTGTCATCAACTAGAAGAGTCACGGCTCTGGAGGTCAGGATGGGTTGCAGGTGCATCGCACTTTTGAGCCTCCCATGTTCCTGGCTCTCCTTCACCTTTGGCTTCAGCCAGACCGGAAAACTTTATCACACAACACCTGTGGTTGAAACCACATTGCTCTAACTCCTACTGCCTCAATTAAAAACCAATTTTGCTCCTTAAATTAATTTGGATCCAGACATACCAGTTCTCCCACCCAGAGTGCAAGAGATCCCATCTCCCATGCCCAAAGCTATAATTTTATCCATAAATAAGGCTGCTCTGCCCAACCGTTTGTCATAGATGCACTAAGTTTTGATAACAGGCATGTTGTGAGTAAGTTCCCAGAATTCCCTTAAAATAACTAGCTCTCACATTGAAAAGATTAATGAGAAGCAGAATATTGAACATTGAAATATTCTATGTATGAAAGGTATCACTGATCTATGTAGTGACAATGTAGAAGGGCATTTCATAGAGCAAAGAGGCATTTTAAAAAGATGGCTTAAAAAAGCACTAGAAATAATTGTATCCAAATTAACAAGTTTGACATCACTGACAATTAGAATATTAATAAATGCATAATAGGTAACCTTTAAGAGGGACGTGAACTTGCTTCCTTTGGGGAACTAAAATAAGTATTTTATACATATTTTTCTCTCTTAAGTTTCACAACTTCACCATGAACTAAATAACGTCACTATGTCCATTACAGATGAAGAGGCGGAGACCTGGGTAGATGAGTTTTTCTAGCATCCCTCTGATAAGAAGAGGC